CCTATGCTGTGTCGTATTCGCTTGCTGGAATGACATAGTGCGTGGTTATATGTTTCTTTTTAAAAACGGGTGTAGGATTTTTGTTGAACTTTTGAACTGTTATTTCTAAGTTTTGGTAATTTGTATATCTTATTTAAAATGGGATACAAATGTGTTTATTTATAAGGAAAAAAAATATCTTTATAGTATAAAAAGTTAATTTATTTAACAAAATTTAATTAAAAATGTGACAAAATAGTACCTTTCTATTGGTTCTATCGGACTTTTTTCGACTATATAAATCTTTATTTGTAAACTTTAATACATCAAATATTTTCAATCTAATAAATCATTTAATGATGTAAATAAGAAGAAATTTCTCAAATGGGTGGTCAAATTCTATAGTTTTCATTATATATATATATATATATATATATATATATATATATATATATATATATATATATATATATATATATATATATATATATATATATATATATATATATATATATATATATATATATATATAATATATATATATATATATATATATAATATTGTCTAAAATTTGCAAAAGAATCCGAATCTCTGGATAACTCGAAATTATTTACCCATTTAAAAGCCTTTGATCAAAGTAGAAAAATTTGTTCATTTTATTTACTGGAAATGGAAAAATTATTTATATTAAATTTTGATGAGTTTTGCACTGAAGAAAACATTCAGAGGCTGTTTGATATAATGAAAACTATAGAATTTGACCACCCATGTGAGAAATTTCCTCTTATTTACATCATTAAATTATTTATTAGATTGAAAATATTTTATACATTAAAGCTTACAAAAAATAAAGATTTATATAGTCAAAAAAAGTCCGATAGAACCAATAGAAAAGTAACTATTTTGTCACATCTTTAATTAAATTTTGTTAAATAAATTAATTTTTTATACTATAAATATCTTTTTTTTCCTAATCTCCTACGAACTGATATAATATGACGAGCAATCTATTAAATTACTGTGAGATTATATGCCTCGATAACATATTGGTGCAGATTATTTTCACCCAAACTATACATTGATGTGGATTGTCTTTGAACTCTTTCTGAAGGTCACAGAAACCTGAACGCGTAATTCGGTGTTCTTTCGCATCTGTTGTAGTTAATTTGTGCTTAAAGTATGTACTAGGATACTAGGATGTATTTCAGGAAAATATTTTAACTTCTATAGGGTGGCTCAAAAAAGTGTGAGTGAATCATGATATTTTTAAATGGGACACCCTGTATATTATTGCATTTTGGCTTCCTTTTAGATGACTTTACATAATCCTAAGAAATTAATAAATATATAGATATTAATAAATAAATAAAAAATATATATATTTTTCAGTCTTTCTTAAAAAAATATTAAAAATACAAGAACTGTCTTGAAATCAAAACAATATTAGATATTTACTTTAGATGGTCTGGACTTACTTTGCTATAAATATGGTAATCGTAAATTATACAGGATGTTCAAAATTCTACACCAAACTTTTTATAGTATAAAATACTTTTTCTTTGTTTTTTTAAATGGAAAACGCTGTATAATATTTTTTCAATAGATAGAGAATTAAAAAATGAATATTATATATTTGGAGTATTTCAAAATTTTTAACGGATTCGGAGATATTCGTGGTTTTACATTTCATATGGAATTTTTCACAGTAAATTTTTATCAAAGCCACCTAATGATTTTTCTCTCGTATTTTACCGTTGATAGAGCCATATGAAATAATACTGCGTGTATCTGCAAAACTATTAAAAATTTTGACATACTTTAAAAACAAAAAATGTTGCGTCAATTTGATGCGTCGATGCACGACTGTATATAGTCATAAGCCCTATTATACAGGCCCATACCCACCGTGCGCTGATGCGATTAATTCAACGCGTCGTCAACGCGTCGATTTGATGCGCGAGTATCTCGATGGGATGGGTTGTGCGGCGGTTCGGCTGAATTTCGGTTTTTGGGCGAACCATCAAAAGAAAAGTTACGAAAACAATGAACGAATTTCTAAACACGAACTTCATACTCACTATAATTGGTGGAATACCTAGTATAGAATTAAACATATAGAAATAAATACATCAATTTAATTAAATAAATACCAGATTAAACTATTTTGCATGACTTATCGCTATTCCTCTGCTATTTCAAAGATTAAACAAAGGTGTCAAAGTCATATTGCCGAGTGTCTGCGGTATTTTATCGACAAAGGAATAGGATAAACGGAAGCGTTGCCACTACTGTCGTATGGTTCCAGCAGAGCTTATTCAGTATCTACCTACATTATATAGGGCTAGATATCTATGCACACTTTCTAAATTTTTCATGTCACTTCTTGGGTATATATTTAATAAGCTTATAATGTCTTATTGAGTTTTCTCAACATTGTATACCTAAGAAGTGACAAGTGACGTAATAAAGGGTTGGCTACCAAATTTTTAAAAAGTATTCCAAATATACCGGAAAAAAATGCTAGTCCTTATTTTAATAAGAAGGAAAAATGCAAAACATTAAGTAGTAACTACTAGAGACAAGCAAAACTGCAAATTCTCCAATCGCAATTGAAAATGTGATTGCGATTTTTAAATCGCTTCGACTGTAACCGGCGATTGCGATTTTAATATTTAAATATTGTACTAGGTACCTATATAATTGTCTGTGTATGGACCTATAGCTTAACAGTTAATAACAGTTAATAAAAATTAGTTGTTTAGTTTTTAAGTTTTTTTTTAATATCTGCAACACATATTATAGGTATTAAAACTTTATAATAGAACTACGGATACCAATACCCAATACCTACTCTTTCTACGGTTTTCAGTTATCTAATTCTTTAAAGATCTTAAAGACCTATTTTTTATGGTGGCTTAGCTACCGCTATCACTTTTTTAGTTTTTCAGATAAAGAAACGAGATTTGGTACGTTAGTACCTATCTTCTTCTCGTCCGTTAACTCTCGAAAGAGTATGGTGACATTTCTTGTCACAAGCATCAAGCTATGTAGGCGCATGAAATTTAGTATGCTCTAATAATCTAGTTGGCGAAAATATGGAATTTTATAATAATATCACAAATGATACTAACACAAAATTGAGACAATAAGCTTCATAATTCCGTGGGTCCCTCGGTGGGTCCTCTAATTTAAACTTACGATAAGACTATTAAAGAATTTATTTTCTCACTATATACACACAATTTAACTAATTTTTTAATTAAATACAACACAAACAACTATTTGAACATCCTTCGCCAATTTGTCACAATTTGCTATTTGCAGAACGCCATTCAAAAACTAAATTAACTGTCGAGCGCAGAGAGCGCTTTCTATACGGTAACAGATGGATCCCGAAATTTCCATTCTAGAACTCTGTCGTATTCCTTTAGTTTCTCGAAATTTCCACATATTTTCATCCAATGTCTAAGAGATGGCGCCCTACTTAATTTCCGCAAAAGCGCAAATTTCTGAACGCTTCTTGACTAAATAGTTCTGGTTTTACGCTCTTTCGTCAGATGTCACCATATACCTTGACATTAATTAACGTATGGGCTGGTATGGGTTTATTTTTAATTGATGCCCTCAAACGTACAAAAGAAGCACTTTTGTATAGAGGTAGATTGTGTGCAATTAACTTATTTTAATGCCGAAAATAACGTAGTTATTCTATGTCCATGGAATATTGAAACTCCCTGTATATTTTGTAGGTCTGCTTTGGAACTTAATAAATAATTTAAAAAATAGAAAATAGTTTTGAATATACCGGGTGCGTCTTAAAAGTGGTTCACCCCTATAACTTTTTTATTTTTTCATTTAAAAAAACGAGATTTGGTATTTTAGTATATGACGTAAATTAGGATTGATTGACGTATTCAATTGTTTTCGGTCACTTCCTGTTTCACCGGAAATTACTACAACTTTTGATTTTTAAATGGCACCCTAGGTATTTTTTTACTTTATTCGATAGAAAATAACACTGAATAGAATGACATCTTATATGTCAACTTTTGACATGTTCGCATATGGTTTATTTGAAATTGTAACATGCGGTTTATAACGAAAATTTGACTCAAATTACCAAGTGTGTGGTATCAAATTATTCGCAGAAAAATGCCTTTTTCAAATATGCTAATGAACCACCCTCGTTCCATTTGAAAAAATTGAGATATGATTAAAAATACGATTTGGGCATCTTTTAACGGGCCAGCATAAGACACTAAAACGAAAAATAAAAATCTATTTTTCCAAGGCTCCTTAAGAATTAGTGTTTTTAACATAGCGATGGCACTCTAGATTCAAATTTAAAATACGATTTTTAATTAAGCGAGAATGTCAAAAATTGACATATGATATGTCGTTCTATTCAGAATGCCATATTCAATCGAATAAAGTAAAAAAATACCGAGGGTTCTATTTAAAAATCAAAAGTTGTAGTCATTTCCGATAAAACAGGAAGTGACCAAAAACAATTGAATACGTCAATCAATCCTAATTTATATCATATACTAATATACCAAATCTTGTTTTTTTATCTGAAAAAAATAAAAAAGTTATTGGGGGTGAGCCACCTTTGAGACGCACCTTGTATACCTATTTAACTGATCTACCCAAACCTTGCTAGAATACCCCTTATACTGAAATAAAGTGCATAAACATTGGATGCATTTCCACTTCCACCCCTGATATCATGCGATCGAAGAAAACGTCAGAGTTGGGTCACATGAAAGCCGCTTGATGCCGTTTTTTTTATCATACGGTACTAAAATTTACAAATATTGTAAATTATTTTAATTATTTTTCTTAATTGCTTATACAATATTGGTGTAAGAATAATAGGGGGCAATAAAATATTAGGTTTAATTATACAATAAATATATACATAATATTATTATTAATTTTAGTAATAAACTGTTTTACAGTTTATACCTTATTAAAGTTTTAATTGTAATTACTGCTTTTATATTCATAAAAGAACATTAAACTACGTATAAAAGGGATTGATTTTTTTTGATTCGGACACATATTAGTTCGTTAGCTTTACATTGTTTTTTATTTGCAATAATATAAAACAAAATGTTGGTGAAGTTAAGTTTGGCTATTCTTTGCTTTATGGCTGGTAAGTGTAATTGCTATTTTCCTAGGGTAATAACAAATATTAATTTAAAATTGATTATTATTTAATATTTTATCACACTGTACTGTAAATTATTTTAATAAAATTTAAATATTTTGCCCGCTAAGATATAAAATAAGAAACAAACAATGTACGAGAGATTAGGTAAAGATAATCAAAAGCTGATGAAGTTTGAAAGCACAATGCCATTTTTATTTTATTTAATAGTTTTTTTATACTTTTAATCAGTAGAGGACAAACATTGCTAAAAAGATATTTTAATTTAAACGATATTTTTATTATAAGCTCCTATGATAAGCTCTTTTCAAATGTAAATTAATTAGTCAGAATTTATTTCCTATTTTATATTTTTAAAGTTAATAATTATGTGTGTTGGTAAAATTATCAATAATTCAATAATTAAAAAAAGTATAACTAAAAAAGATGTAATAAAATTTTCATTATTATTATTGAATAGAAATAATTCAGAAATACTTTCATATAAATCCGCTTTTTTATCCTTTATAATCCTCATCTGAAAAAACATTCACAAAAAATTATTTCATTTTCTACTTTGACGTAATTTTTTGACCTTTGACCTTTGACTTGATAATATATTATAATTTTATAGGTATATTTATTTTATATTTTTGTGTTGCCAATAGCTAAAAAACATCCAAATAAAAAATCCGGGGATTTTCTACAGGAAATACCGTATGATCGAAAAAAACGGCGTCCAGTTGGCTTGCAAATGACGATCGATATCATTTCCCATATAATTTTACATATAAAGCGATCTTCATTTCATAGCTATCGCTGACGCCGTTTTTTTCGATCACGGTATTCCCTGTTTCAAAGATTTTGATCCACAAAATTTACTAATTACTATAACCATTAACAATTTAAAGCTTTATTATTTACTGATGTAGTCACTGATGGAGGTAGACGTAGGTATATTTGAAGTGTTGACCACGTACATTTGTGTTGACCATCAAAGCCATACCTTAAAATATTTTTTTGTTGTTTTGGAACTAGTGTTTCGGTTATTATATATTATATGAAGCCACATTTTGTCAGCATTAACGGCCAACACAACTCTTTTAACAAGAGAAAAGTTAGTGGCGCACAGTTTAAAAAAAATGTTCTAGTGAAAACCCATAAGTATAAGTACATCTTATTGAATCTGTCGTCTTTTTTTAGCACTAAAATATAAAGTTAAAAAGCACTTATAATAACTTTTACCCTCAAAATTCCATTCGAATCGCTACAGTTGCAAGCACATGAAATGAAATTATAATAAATCGAAAAAAATTAAATTTAATCCCTTGTAGCTACAAAACAAAGCTGAATCGGACCTATGTTGATATAATAAATAAATTCTATTTTTACGTGAAGAAATCCCACGAGAGATGGCACATGTTTTTTGAAACACCCTGTACATCATTTGTTAAAAATAAGCATACATAAATATTAAAAACTTTATTATTACTGGCAAAACATGGAATACAAAAAAGGAATAAATTCTCACTTTTATCCAGAGTTAAATATAGCAGATTTAAAATTTACATTTTTATATTTGGGAGGATTCCAAATTATAAAAATAAATGTGCATTGGCGTAATTACAGTCTACAGTGGTGCCCGGCGGTGAGCTCCCCCCAGGTACCGCTGGGTACCCCTAGGGAAATGTTGAGTTATGACTCTTGGCTACGTATTAACCTTGTATATGAATTTTTATAATTTTTATTTGCTTGTGATGTAGTAAAAATGACGTTTTCTAGTTTTGTTTAGTTAAAATTATTTTGTTGTGTTCAAAGAATGTTATAATTTTTAGAAAATTTGTAGATATTTAACTAATCTACAGGAACACGGTTTGATAACCAAGTCTATGAAATTTATTGATAGAAAAATTCATGTAAACGTTTTATTCAAAAAATGAGTTTTTTAATATTATACTTCATTTTTTCAAAGAACAAAAGACCTGCCCCCCCTAGGCTCATCCCCAGGCCCCCCAGGATGAATTGCTAATTACGCTAATGTAAATGTGCTTCATTTTATGTATAATTTTTAGGCTCCCCCCCAAAGTTGATGTGAAGTTGAATTCCTAAAATACATAAAACGATTATTAATTATCCAAAACACATGTTTTATATCACTTGAATATTTTAATAAAATTACATTTTTTTCAAAATTTATTGACTAGTTTAAAAAAACAATATAAGTAAATATAAATTTTAAATATATTAGTCAGATTGGGCAGAATGAAAATATCAACTATAAAATATAAATAGATATTAGAAATAGGAGAATTCAGGTTTTTCCAGATTTATTTAGAAATATACAGAGTGTCCCAATATTCGCTATTCGTTATTGCTTGATTTAAAATAACACACTGGTTTTGCAAAAATAGTATATTGTTTTATTAAAAGTAAAAATTACACTTTTTGTGGCGAGGCCGGAGTCCGACATGCAGGCGAGCCACAAAAAGTCATTTTTACTTCGAATAGAACATGCTATTTTTGCAAACGCCACAAATGTTAATGGTTATACACTCGTTAAATTTGACACTTAATGTCAGTTTAATAATATATTTTCGTACTTCTGTGCTTAGGGGTAAAAGTGTTTTACTTTTATGCCTAAGCGCTAAATGACTTTTTTATACAGGGTGTCCCACAATTAGTGCGACAAACTGAAAGGGGTTGAGAGGGCATCAAAACAAGTCATTTGAGTATAGGAATCCATGTCCGATATTATTAAAATGAGCGGAAGGAACTTGACTGGACGTGCACTAAGGTACCAACACGCCCTACTATCAACAGCGAACAGGCGTGTGCATTTGTGTCTTTAACAGAATTGACGGCACTTTGGGCAGTTTTTGTAAATGTTTTGAATAAATAATGCAACTTGAAATTTACGTTTGTAGAGTGCCGAAGCTAAATGATCTAAGTATGCCAAAATATACACATTTTGTATTTACTACTCAACATGATGTAGGTACCTATGTGCCAAGGCCAATATAGGGCTATAAGATTTAAGTGCCATTTCCCATCTTCTGTTCTAAAAAGCATATTTAAAATGACGTCATCTATATGTCCGCTTGCTGTTGGCATGTCTAACTGATCTAAGTGCCATGCTTCAGATGGTATTATGTGTGTGTGGCATGAGGGTCAATCAGGAAGGGGTGGAAATCAGATGGCGTCATGCCTTCGACAAGCTTTGAACGTTGGTGTTTTTTCAACTTACAAAAGAAATTTGTGTGTTTGGAGCGACAACTGTGCGGGGCAGCTAAAAAAAGAATGCTTTTGTTTTTGTAAATTTGCGTAGTGTCTTTAGGATTTTTTGACACTATTGACCACAAGTTTCTGATGTCAGGCCATAGTTTCTCCGCATATGATCGTGACTTTGCGTTGATTGAGAAACGTGCAAAACGTTCAAAAATGCATGTCAAGGAAGTCATAGCAGCTTCAAGACCTTCCAGGCCCTACAAAGTTTTGGATATGGATGAGTTAAAGTTTTTTGATTTTGACTCAGCATCAGAAAAATATATTGCAACGTCAAAGCTTCGTATTACAGAAGCTTCATGGCTGCGAGTGACAAAAGAAGATATGGGTGTTGTCTTTTATAAGCAAAGCTTTAGCGACTTATTAGGTTGGGAAAAATGTTATGTGCTTAAAAAGGGAATCAGCATCGAAAATATTAAATCAGCCGAACTCACTTCGTTACCGGGTGTTCAGCCCTTAAATGAGAATAAGAAAAAATATATATACTATGATGAAGTTTATCGATGAAGATAATAATGGGTTTTTGGAAAATATTCTAAGTGCCTGATAACAAAACATTATGGATATAGATCATTTCCACATTTATTTGTGTTTTGAGCTTTTTGTATTTGTACTTAAAGTAGTATATAATAGTAGTATATATAGTACTTAAGTTTTTTTTACTTTTCAAAAATATACATTTTTTTAGTTTCCCACAAAAATGCTTTTTGGCACTTAGATCACTTAGCTTTTCCACTCTACGTTTCACTCCACCTCCTGCCAAAACGGCACATTTCTGGACATGGGTTCCTATATACTCAAATGATTTGTTTTGATGCCCTCTACAACCCCTTTCAGTTTGTCGCACTAATTGTGGGACACCCTGTGTGTAAAATGATCCTTCTAGTACCGTATGATCGAGAAAAAAAAACGGCGTCAGCGATGGCTATGAAATAAAGATCGCTGTCATTTTATATGTTAAATTATATGAAGAATGTCATCGATCATCATTTCCAAGTTAACTAGAAGCCGCTTTTTTATTAGCGGATACCTACTAGATTTTAACTACCTACTGTTAGGCTTGGTGTGCTAAAAAATTTTTTTCGTAAGTTGCCTTCAGAAAAACATTATTTTTTCTCAAAAAGTATGATCGGTGACGTTTTTTACACCATATAAAAATTGTAGTAAATACTGGAAGGACTATTTTACCTTTTTTTATGTAGGGATGGGGATAGTTTTTACCCTTCCCGTAGTTTTTCTGGATTTTTGTGAAAGTCAAATGTTAAAGCGCTTAGCAAAACACAGGCACCCCAAATCTCATTCCAATTGTAATAACGATTCTTAAAATATCTTAAAAAATGTGTTAATATATTTTTTTTTAAATTTAAGCTCTCTAACGGAAAAACTAAGCACTTTTGTATAGAGGTAAATTGTCCCCAATGTACTTATTTTGATTCCAAAATACGTAGTGGTTCTATGTCCACGGAGTATTGGGACACCCTGTATATTTGATATGATCTTAATTTTGTAACGTAACATAGTTAATATTAATTTCTTCAGCATTATCAAAATTTACTTACTGGCATTATCTCACATTCTTATTCATAACATCGTGTACATAAAAACATGTTCTTTTCTGTATGTGTTATGTTTTCTGTGTGTGTTATGTTGTAATGATGTAAAAATATCCCTAAAATAATAAAAAAAATATATAACAGCAATAAAATATATACGAGGTTAAATTTAGATTCGATTAGAAGGTTAAACTTGATGTATTAATTAAAATTATAATATATCCATTTATATTGTATATTTTATGCAACTTTAATTTTTATTACAGAATGAAACTGCTGAAAAATAATTTTAATTATTTCTTATGAACTTTCAATTTTCATATACATATAAAATATTTTGAAATCATAATTTTACAGTAATGCTTCTTAGATAATTAATAACCCTTGGATGATTATTACATATTTTTGTAAATTAAAAAATTAATTATTAACATAAATATGAAATGGGGATTACTTAACTTATTAATATTTCTTTCGAGTTTCTAGAGCACTAGAAAGTACTTCCTAAAAAAATATTTTATGTAGATTCGGTAACTTTATCTATATTTTTATTTTTGCATGCAAAATTTTACGTAAAAAGTGTTTTTTTTAAACACTTAAGTATAACGATGTGCTTTTTCTTTAAAACGAAAGTGATTTTTCGCGATACTCTGCCATTGTTTTATAAAAAGGTAAGTACATTTTTTTTATTAATTTTCTCTCATAGGACTAGCTAAATCAATCTACGGGTTATATATTATCTAAGAGATAAGTACTATAGATTTAATTTATTTTAAAGCCTGTTTGACACAGTCAAGTGTATTTGTTAATTGTAAATACACTTGGCGCGCGCGTTTCACTTGGACGATGTTGATCCAAGTACACTTTGATCGTATCAACTAGGCTTTACGGTTGATATTTTTGATAAGCGATAAATTTCATATGAATATTAGCTCAGCATGTGGCTGCAGTAACCAGACAGCTCCACTTTTTACAAATTTTACTAAATTGTCCATTAAAAAATAGTCCAATTGTAACAGTGCATAAATGGCAACATTTTTTGGAGCTGCCTTGCGCTCCTTATTATTTGGAGCTGCCTTGCGCTCCTTTATTACCTCATCACCACTTGCTCCATTCTGAGAATACTTATAATTAAGTCTTGTCTTAATCAACTCCTCATCTAATAATCTTAATTTGACAAAATACCTTATTTTCTTCATCCAATTTTGATCCAACATTTTCTAGTTCCTTAATAAGTGTGTCAAAATTCAGAAAACGATCTTCCATTAAATTTTCTCTTCTCGTTTTTCATTTTACTTTATTCTAAAAGATAATAATTTCTCATTAAAGTTAGTTTTGCTAAAACACTTTTTCTTTCAAATGTATCTTCCAAAGTCTTTCTCATACATTTTGCTGCTCTTGAATATTTTACCAAATCTTGGTGTTTATTCGTAAGAAACTGTTGTTGAATTGTTGATTTTGCTTTTGCATCCTTTATTTTAAATTGTCTCTTTTCTTTCTCTGTACTATAATTGCTTTCTTTATTTTCTAATGTTTCTTTGATTTGTTTTTTTTTCAATAAAATAATTACTCCAAATTTCCAGTTATTAAAATTTCCTGATACTAAGTGCGGTAAATTAAGCACTGAAGCTTACTAAACTGCTATTACAGGAAATACAAACTGATATTACTGGAAATACTATTCTCTGGAATTGTGAGCTATTCTGGGCCCATAACCTAGTAACTCTTACTAGTGCTGAGATAAATACAGACTTGCTTGTGCTCAACTTATTTATTTTGGAACATTGAACATATATTACCAAAAGAGAAATTATAACATTCTTAAACCCAAAATCTGTCTACTTGACAACTGAACAATTAACAATATCCTATATTTTTTACTACATAAACCTTAACACCGCGGTTCTCAGCCATAGCATGGTCAATGTTTTATCGACTTGGCGAGTGTCTAAATGACGACTCTGGTACTCGAGGCATAAAATATCTAGCTTGCGAAGCTAGATATTCTGTGCTCGAGGTATCCGATCTCATCAGGCCTCGAATCGACGGGGCGGGAATGAGCAGTGTGTGTCAATAGATTTTATCTACGTCAGTGAGTTAAGAAGCTCTTAACTCGCGCATTTTGAGTGAGTTAAGAGCTTCCTAACTCACGCATTTTCATTACTGCACTCCTTGTTTAGATGACTAGCAAAGAGAAAAAAATATTTTGTAAAACATTTATTTTGCACTAAATTGGAAAAATATGTTGTATATGAGTACCTTTTCATTTCCATAGTTATGTACTTTTTTTCGGTGCACCATTTTTCATATTTAGAGTATGTATATTCATACTTCTGTTTCGATCTTGCTGGAAGCAATCCAGAAATGGCTCTGAATGCCTCTTCTTCAATGTCAGAGGGAATACTTTCCGAATCGCTCATTTTTTAAACTATTGACATCAATATTATTCACTGTCATATTGACATTGCCATGCATGGTGTTATTTGAACAAAGATATTAAGGTAATTGCTTTTTAGGATAGGTATATAGTTAAGTACAATAATCTTTAAAATTCACGCGAGTTAACTCCATTAAGATACTTGTGTGGTACACAACTCGTGCTACGCACTCGTTGTGCAACTTTCACACGCGTATCTTAATGATGCTGTTAACTCACTTGTATCGTAAATATCTACTATGCTCTTGCCATGGAACAGCAGCACGACCGAGTTTTGGAACTGTTACCCATCCATCCACCCGCATCTTCTAACATCGCTTAACTTCGGCATTTTCCCACAGATACATCTACTTAACCCGCTGATGTTCTGACATATAACATATAATCCGGTTGTATTTTTCAAAATATATCATGTTATTTGTTAGATTTTTATTTCAGTGGCTAAATACCCAGACGTTTAAAATATCATCACACGTTCAAATTGAAACTGATGTTAAAAGACGGAAAATAAAGAGCTAGAAACTGTTTGATGTAGTATTCCTTTAACAGAATTGTTACTAACACATATTTTTTATTTTTAGCTTCTTGCCATGCCCTCACCTATTACAACCTGCCCTTCTTCGATTTCACCGAACCATCGTGCAAGTTAATCGTTGCCGAACTTATCAAAATTGACAGCGAATACATCGGTGCTTCCGCCATATTTCCACAAGCGCTGGCCTTTATGAAAAAATACGATCCAGCGGTAATCCCTCGCAGACACAAACGTCAACTTGGTTTGCTATACAAGGTGGTTGGAGGCAAAGGCGTTAGTCTGATGGTATCGATTATGGAACATGCCAAGACAACGAGAATGTTTCAGCACATAGCGGCGATATTCCACGAACTTCCCCAGTGCTTGTATTGGCTGCAGGGGTATCGCCTTTATCTTAAAAATAATGTAATATCTAAAATATTTTATGAACAAATAGAAGAATTCTTTTCTTAATCAATGTTTTTGTTGTACCCTCATAAATCAGGATTGTATCTAACGTTATTGGTATTAAATATACTATTAGCAATTCAAAATTATTAGTTTTTCTTAGTGGTATGAGGGGTCTATACGTGCGTTTTTAAGCCATCTTATAAAGTCTCTTTTAATTTTGTTATTTTATTTAGTAACGTACATATCTATTTTAAGAAGTGGAATTCATATTATCATCGACTTAAAGTGGCATATGTATCATCGGCAGGGCCGGCGGAAGGGAAATATTGAGACCGGGCGAATACCCTACCTGGCGCCCCCCCCCCCCCAATAGTTAACATGTTACCATAACAACTAAGCACATTTATGCTATTTTAACAATAAAATTTCACTTAAAGGTACTTCAAAATTCTTCTCTTCGTTCAATCTTAGTCCGCGCCGGTTGTTTTTTCTATACCGGGTGCATCTTGAAAGTTTATTTTTTTAGATAAAAAACGAAATTTGGTATGTTAGAATATGACATAAATTAGGATTGATTGACGTATTCAATTGTTTTTGGTCACTTCCTGTTTCAACGAAAGACTATTGATTTTTAATTGGCACCGTCAGCATATTTCTGGTTTATTTGATAGTAAATGACACTCTGAGTAGAATGACATATCATATGTCAACTTGTGACATTTTTGCTTAAAAAATCCTATTTTAAATTGCAATCTAGAGTGCCATGGCTGTGTTAAAAACACTAATTTTTAAACAAGGAGCCTTGGAAAAATAGATTTGATCGTCTAATGTTTTTCGTGTCTTGTCCTGGTCGGTTAAAAACGCCCAAATCGTATTTTTAATCATATGCCAATTTTTCAAATGGAACAAGTGGCTCATTTGCATATTTGGAAAAATATTTTTTTACCAATAATTTTGTACCACACACTTGATATTTCGAGTCAAATTGTCGTTATGAACCGTATATTACAATTTCAAATAATCCATATGCGAAAATGTCAAAAGTTGACATATGATATGTCATTCTATTCAGATTGCCATTTTCTATCGTATAAAGTAGAAATATACCGAGGCTGACATTTAAAAATCAAAAGTTTTATTAATTTCCGGTGAAAGAGGAAGTAATAAAAAACAATTGAATACGTCAATTAATCCTAATTTATGTCGTATACTAACATACCAAATCTCGTTTTTTCATCTGAAAAAATAAACAAGTTATAGGAGTGAGCCAGTTTTGAGACGCACCCGGTATATAAATGATAAGTATAAGTGATCTTTGAAAACATTACTATTTAGTTGCAAGCAATAGCATTATTTTTCTATAAGGATTTAAGAAAAATTTCTTTTCTTTTTCACAATCAATTATTTCGTGCAGAATCAGTATAGATATGATCAGATACAGTTCTGTCGGCTTCAAAATGAGGATCAGCCAGTGTTTCAGATTTGAGATGCATATTTGTCTTGCTTTAATGAGAAATTTCTACGATTCTGCTACCATTTACCATGTATTACTACTATTCAATCAAGAACAATCAAAATCACCAAAAAATTGATATTTTTCCTACTACTGTTTGATACATTACATTAATGAGGCAAACTTACAAGTTTTTTTTTGATAATTAGGATATCGGGATCCTATTTAGCTTCTTGCGAATGAATATTTGTCTCATATAATTTTAGGGCAGATCAGCCATTAACAAATAAAGGGTGTGGGTAGTAGACAAAGTGCATTCTGAGCAACAAGCAGTCTAAAACTGTCAAATTTGCTGGCTCTTGACCCCAAACAGTTTGTTTAGAGAAATTTTATAAAAACAAGAATTATAGAAAGAAGGGTTATTTACAAAAAGTTGATAGCTTTTTAGTTATAAGTAAAATACCACGAACATTTTATTTTAAATATTTTAGTTGCTGGCATGGCGCCCCTCACATTCGGGGCCCCGGGCGGTCGCCCGGGTCGCCCGGCCCTTCCGCCTGCCCTGATCATCGGTTTACAGTTAGGATATCCTAAATATCTTGTGTTACTTTTTCAAAAATCATAACAATATACTAGAGAACTCATTTTATATCTAAGAACCACTTAATAAATATACAGGGTGTCCCAGAAATAAGTGCAAGTATTTTAAGGGTGGTGGATCTCAATAAAAGAAACATATTTTCTCTTTATCGCTTTTCAAATAAGTTCAAAATAACGGAGTTATTTTACTTTAAAAATTTCAAAAAAAAAATTTTGCTAAAATTTTGAAAACCACTGGATCTGTTCTGGATTTTCTTTGTTGTAAATTTAATCTAATACCTATGTTGCCATATTATCAAAAAATTATGTTTTTTTAATTAAAAACTAAAAAAAATTCCAAAAAATTTTTCAGAAAATTTCGAAACTCATAGGCGTGTTTCCGGGGTTGAATTATACTACCAGTTAAAATACTTGCACTTATTTCTGGGACACCCTGTATAAGTATTTAAGGAAGGGTACAACTATAATTAATATAGTTTTTGATCCCTTCTATTACTCAGTAATTGATATGATTTATTTATTTTTTTCACAAATTTCTGCTACTGATTTCTGTTGACTGATAACGCTTTCGCTTCGTTTAACCAGTATTGTGACTTGTGAATACTAGTTTATATAAAAATGTTCTTAGCCCGCCTCATTTTTTATTTGCTTTGCATGCATTTTTAACATGTCTTTCTTCACTCATACGTTGCAAGTGTACTTGTCATATCAATGAACTATATCTTAAAAAAACTTCTCAGTTTTTCGCCAGTTGGAGGAGTATGATATTTAAATAAATTAAAAAAAAAATTAAAAAATAATATTCTTAAAATATATACGACTGAAGTTACTGTTCTGCAAGACAATAACAATTTGGCAAAACTTAATTATAATCAATCCTTAAATTTAATTGGATGCTGTCCTAGCCATAACTTTAATATTGACAAACATGACATTTGCCTCGAAAATTTGCTTTGACGTTGCATTACTGTCGATAGTAGGTAGGAAGCAGGAATATATTAATATTATTATCCAGTCACATAGCTCAAAGGATTTTCTAATTTGATGGTGGAACAATTGTTTTCGGCCGCTTTGTACTTCCAGACAGTGATTGTATTAGTATTTATTCATGGTAAATTAATTTGCATTTGGCTGTAAACAAAAAACCCTTCTATGTTCTTTGAAATAATCATAATCAATATTAACTTTAAGTCATATATTTGATAAATTCCTTTACAATTTTTTCCCATTTAACTTGTTTAAAACCACTTTGAAAAATTATTTTACGAATAGCTTCAGAAATATGGAGGGTAAAGGTAAGGAGAATTATCTTCGTGTATTGAAAAGTGCAGTGGCGTATCCAGGGGGGGGGGCAAAGGGGGCAATTGCCCCCTCCAGACACGACGCGTGCCGCGCCGGTCCAATTTATATTTTCCCATTACATATTCACAAAAACTATAATGTAATTTACCATTATAGGTAGATTTTTATTTTTATTTTTTTTTATATTGTTGTATAGGCGTATAATTATAATAGGGAATACTCTTACATCTCCCTATTCATCTTATTCTTAATGTGTTTACCGTTTTTTGTACCTACCTAAGATTTTTTACTTTACTTTAACTTTACCAATTTTCAACCCTAAAATTGTTAAAATCCTACCTACGTAACACAGTAAGTGAGGACAGAATAAATGGCTTGTCCCTTTTGTATATGTATCCAGAAATATCTGGTAGTACAGAAGAGGTACTTAATGAAATGCAGGCCAAAAGCCAGAAAGCTGGATATTGTTATTTAATTTTATTTGTATCTGCGTTTTTTCTTTATTCACTTGGCGTTTTGTTTGTTTCTTCTTTTTTGTTATTTGTTTCTTTAATTTTTGGTTAATTCTTTGTGTTAATGATTATTTTATGCTCTTTTGTGATGTAATGTTACTTATTAAACCATTTTGCTAAAAAAAATATTTTGTATTTATTTATATCTATTATTTACCATAGTACCTAGCTGTAATTAGGTAGGTACTTACTTGTTAATATAAAAAACATATATTGATATGACGGGAGATGCACTAATATCTCACCGACTCTTTACGACATCGCCTGTTGATATTGAAAAAGTTTTACTTACCGTATCGGTGAGAACCAGCCACTGGACAGCCCACCTGATGAAGGATAGGCCCAGAAACCGGCTGTGGGAGTGGAGCTAACCAAGCTCTTAAGCTCTTTAGCTTAACCAATCCCTCCCCCCTTTACGACAAGCAAAACAATTTTCTTTTTACTTTTTATTTTTTTTTCTCTACTTTCGATTTTTCGAAATTAGAAAAAATACACAGCTAAAGGCAAAAAAATATTATTTATTAATATACATTAAAGCTGTAAGAATTTTGTTCATTTCACTTCAAAACATATATTTAGGTATAATATTGAGTTATTGACCCCCCCCAGGCATGAATCCTGAATACGCCACTGGAAAAGTGGTCATCAAAGAGGGAACGACAACAAAGAGAGCTGTGGCAAAATGTGGCTGTGGCAAAAGTTCTACATTTGAAAGAAGCGCTAAATATTTTTAGAACAGGAAATAAAAAGAGATAGATAAATATGCGATTTTTGAAGGCGCATGCTACCACCAGGGTAACCACTTTTTCTTAACCCACTTCAGTTTATGTATAACAATGGTATAAGGAAACTAGTAGCTTTACTCCTTGTCAAATCCTTTGTTCTTTTTCTGCCACTTTATATGACCTTGTTCTCGCGTCCCGTGACCACTGACGTAGCTGTATAGTCGTGGTCTATAACTAGGCAAAGTATAGTCGTGGCACTCGCCATAGTTTCACAGAGATGTATTTAGGAAAATATGAGTTCACAATAAAATAAAATAAAAAAACATTGATCATCGAGTAAAAATTTGCTTTAAAACAAAATATTTTCACATTTCGTGTAAGTAACAATTTTTCTGTATCTGAAAATCTTCTGGTGGGAAGAAATGCAGAAAAAATAGATAATGACATATTTTTATATTATTATCTATTTCAAAGATTTTCTACAACTTGTTTTTAATTTAAAACAAGTTTAATTTTAACATTAATATGTGTTTGTTTTGTAGT